CCTTCCGTTTTCTCCCTCTCCCCTCCCCTAGAGCCGCCACGCAGGCTATTTGCTCTATGGAAGAGGAACTATATAAATTGTAACATCTTCCCAGAAGAAATTCCATTATGGTACCTCAGTGTTGATTAGCTGCTTGCACAAGAATAGGATGCACAGCCCCTCATGTCTTATCTATTTCTTTGTATTTAGAAAACTCCAAAAGCCTACGACATGTCTCTGACTTAATGATGGCATTCCTTGCCAAAAACTGCTGCAACAAGAATGGCAAGATTATGCCAATCCTTTTGACYAGCAACTCTCGCGACCATATCCCAATATTCCTTGAGGGCTACTTTGCATTTGAGTGGCCTGAGCAGGAAGCAAGGATGGAAAACATAATTCATCGTCGACCAGAGTTCTCCATTCCTGTATCGCACCTGGTAGAACAGGCTCCCCAGAAAGTGTTTGGTCTCAAGGCAGTCTAAAACTGAAGTTAGCAAAGAGAAGCAATGCCCCATGCAAAAAGCATTGTACCAGGAGTAAGTTAAACATGGAACTTGAAATATGTGATATCTAAAGATYTTTACCCAAAGTACAACTCATGTCAAAGACAGAAGAAACTAAGATAAAAGATGGTGACTTTGAAAGCAACTGGAGTAACATCAACTTAATGTGGTAATCTTTTAAGGACAAAACAAGTTGATTAATTGCCAACAAAACCSATGCATTGCAAAATAGATAGTTTGAAGTTTGATTATTTGATAGATTTTGAGGTTTTCTGTGGTGTAGTTTCAAATGCTTCAAACATTTAAATTCAGAAAATGCTTGCTTATCTACAGATCTCTCATATTGATTCAAATTGAATGATTAAAATTTTGTGCATGCTAATTAAGTCAGGAAAAAACAAATCATAGCAAACTTCAAAACATGGAGGTCGCAATATGATTTTATGTAAATATGGTATTATCAATTTAATACTCGACTTGTAGAGTTTTAGAAAAAAAAAATATTAGCTGAGTATTGTATATTGTATGCAATAGTGGTTCAGTTTTTCTTAGGCTGATAATTGATCCTGTTTGAAACATACAATATATGAATCTAACTAATAGATTGAATCCACTGTATAAATTATGATAATTGTCTTTTCCATGCAAAAAATTATTGCATTATATGAACATGACACTGYTGAATAATAAGGTCTTTAGTGTTAACATAGTCTAATATAGAAAAAATCTAGACTGTAAGTACAGACCGGGCGCAGCAAGGTCTGTATGACTGACYAAGGTCTACATTTGGCTATATCAAGACCAAGAAAGCTCAGTTAAGAGTTTTATTATATGACTGCTTTCATTGTTGGCTAAATAATAATCCAAACTGATAGCACTGGACATAAAATTTTCAAACAGCTAAAAATCTTATACACTTTTTATGGACTACAAAATCTTCCATGATTTTTGTGAAATCTTTGAACCTTTTTCCCCGTCTTGTTGCTTACTGTATGTTTTTGGTATGTTTTTACATTTAAGTACCAATTTGCAAAAAATTGCAAATCAAGAAGCGTGAGAAAATTTAGACCATAGAAAAATTGAGATCACAGCTCCAATATACACGGTCATATAATAATCAATTGCAAAACTTCGAGGCCCAGCTTGAACAGATACAACATCTCTAAGTTTGATTGCATACACTGTACATAGTTGATGTGTAATTATATACATTTATCAAATTCATTAAATACATGTAAGTTATTAAGCACAAAGGAAAATCATTGCCGTGACCAAATCTTTATACATGTATGTTGAGCAATCTGAGATTTGTCCTAATTATTGCATAAAACTTTAACTTCGATTTTGTCTTAAAAATGATATTTTATTTTATCTTGAAGTTTTCGCAAAATATGCTTTAGCTCAAGTTGGTATTTGATAACTGTGTCCAAAATTTATGGGCTTTAAAACTGCTCACTTACAGCTCATATTTTATATATTTCCTAAAATATATTCTTCTGTAGTTAATATTCAACAATATATATTGSTGAAATCTTGATCTCCTTTTACTTTCTGTTCAATGTCAAACTTGAATAAGATGATGACAGTATTCAAAACAGGATTTTTAATTGAAGGCACTTTAAAAATAGTTGCTGAAAACATAGGCTTGCTTCAAGTCTCTCTTGCTGTTTTCTCAGAGTGAAGATGGAATTCCTTGAACTGAACCTCATCTGGAAGAGTTACTGATTATTAAGCTGTCAATCAGACTTGTCAAACCCCTAGCCTCATTAATATTATATTTTGATATTATACACTTTATTACAGCAATTTACTCAGACTCTCAGATCATGAGCATTTCTGAAAGTATCTTCCTCTAGCAATGTCCTGTCTTTTTTGCAACTATTCATATCTAAATTTTCAGCTAAAATGAATACAGATATTGAAAGATTTGATATTGGATCCCAATCCAACCCAACCCAATGGATTGTGAATGGATCTTTCAAGGTGACACCTTTTTTGACAATAAAATATCTAAAACATGACTGCCAGCATTGAATACAGGAGGGCCATGCATATGGCTCTCTTAAGAGTACACAGTAAATACTGGAATCCTTTAGTTCCCTGTTGTGTAACATCACCATGATTTATTTTAATAGTAATTTTTAAAGTAAATTAATCCTGGTGTATCAGCTCATCTGTGGCTGAACATTGCACACATTTAGAGTGGTTTTCATTAACCCATGGAATACACTTTAGATTCTTTATTGCACTTTGTCTCTTGTTTTCTATTATATTTCTTGGCTATTACACTTTGACTATTACACTTTGTTTCACGGGTTAATGAAAACCACTCTAATGTCTGTAAATTAGCATCCAGTTAAAAGTATGCAACTTTCATGTTATACTGTATCATATACAACTTACACACTTCTATAAGTATGAATCATTCCTTGTAGTTAATATACATTTGTAGGCTTGAGAATGATTATTAACGAAATAAAAATATTAATTTATTCAAAGATATTGATTGTCATTTGAGCTTCATTTTATTTAAAAATGACAATCAATATCTTTGATTAGTGTGAAGTCATTAAACCAATGAAACAAAAGTTGACTGTGGTTCAACAGATGCAAAAAAAATAAATAATAAAAAACAAAATAATAATAATAATAATAATAATAATAATAATAATAATAATAATAATAATAATAATAATAATAATGTAAACTGTATAAAGTTGTATTAGTATAAAATATATTTCATGGGTTTTTTGACCTCACTTTGGTGCCATTAAACCTGAAAAAAGTGTGAAGTCAAATACACAAATTAGAGTGGTGCTTATAGGTGTATCAGTCTAATCTCTTTTTCATAGTTTTTTTTTATTCCTCTAATTCAGTTGAACTTCTTACTAATAATCTAAATAGTAACATTTTCTTGCTTTATTATTTGAACCCTAAAGCTGTAAGTGCAAAATGCCTTTCACTCCACTATCCTCCCACTATTAATTTGGTCTATAAACGTTTTTTGAAAGATACATTGTATGTCGGTTCAGCTAGCACAAATATCTTTTGTACTGAAACATTGTATTGTTTGTGCTGGAGCTACAGCACAATGCACCTCAATTAATATGTAATTCAGAAGGTCCAAGTAATATACTTCAGAAAACATTGAATACAAAACTCTTTAAACTGCATAGCACATTCCAAGTCTGCAATGCATTGTGTATATTTTAAACTCAAAGTAAGCTGTTTTACAAAATGACAATACTCAATGCAGTTAAATTCGAATTCATAGCAAAAAAAACCCCAAAACACTGCTTTATTTGACTACAGKTCTTGCGCAAAGACCTGACCAAACACAAGAGAGCAAGAGAAAATGTTTTTACAATAGCCTTTAAAAAAGAGCATGTTCTTTTATTCCCATAAGACCTTCTGGGAATACATGGTTATCCTCAACTTGGGGAAAATGGAAATTGTATGAACTATATTGTATTTAAAACATTTTCTCATGCTTTCTTTTGTGTTTGGTAAGTTCTTTGGATTAGAGAATCTGCTGTCAAATAAAGCGGTTATTCACTTTGAATTTGAAAATGGAGTACTGTAAATTCACTGTAAGGTATCAGGTAATTTCGCCCCCAATCTTTTCAGGTAATCTCGCCCTCATCAAGGTAATCTTGCCCCCCACATTGCTTTATCCAAAGTATTCTCGCCCCAGTAAACATTCCATGTTAAATGTAAGATCGTGCTTATTTCTTCACTTTTGTTAGGAGTATTAACAAATTTATTGCAAGATTACTGTCGAAATAACGAGTAGAATGACAGCGATAATTTAGACTCGTTCAGCTTCTAATCACTTCACTTCATCTTTATTTCAGTCGGTAATCAACAAATAAATTAAAGCTTGCTAATGGGCAAAGATACCGGATACGGGGGCGAAGTTACCTAATACGGGGGCRAGTTTACCTGGAAAGATTGGGGGCAAAATTACTGGGGGGCGAAATTACCGTAATTCTATTGTAAACTTGGTTGCTTTCCACTGAGGTAATTGACTGAACAGAGCTGGAACAGTCACTCTGAAACCACCAAAAAAACTACTTTTGAACGAAAATAGAACCAACGATGGATTTTGTCTTGGAATTCACTATCTTCTGTATTCAAGAGATTATAATTTGGAATTCACCACTTCTAGAATTATTTTATTGTATTACATGTACATGTAGCTCAATATTAGACAACATGTCATACAATGATTTGACAAGATTATTAAAAAATTGGCAAGTTTCCCCATTCTACAACACTTGTATGCTAACTGGCATACACTTTCTTGCTCTTCTTTGTCTTTTTTCTGACTAATTTCAAAACTCCATTACTGCTGTCACTATATGGATTGTCAGTATTTGATTGGTTCCCATTAACATCTTTTGTTTTCTTATTTGATGAAGGTTGATCTTGTAGCTCATCCTTAGTTCTTTTGTTGTTCATTATATTTTTAGGTTGTTTAGGTGTATTGTCATTGACTAYGTCTGTAGGCACATCATCTGTGGTTTTTGATTTTGTTTTACTGGAAAAGAAAAAAATGACAAAGTTATAATTATAGTAAAGAATTATAATACTTTTATAGTACTTTAAAATGTGTGATAAGTACTACATAAGATAAACATTCTACATTAAATTTATCATTTTAYAACATGATTATTATAAATATTAGTTATTATTATATTATTAGATCATGTGAGGAAACTGAAAACTAATTGTTGCTTTTGAAAAKGATTGACGTATAGCTATAGTTAAACAGTTCTTGGGCACTGAAATTCCTTTATTCTTTTTTGGGGTATTTGGTGTCAGTTCCTTTTGGATAAACAGGTATAAACTGACCTTTTTCTGAGTGATCTGTCATCTATTACTCCAGATATCAATAAAACACCATTAAGAGATTCTAAACCAATAACACGGAATGTGAATTTGCTACCAATTACCAAACTATCGATATCATAGCCATTTTGTATTCTTGGTCTTGTAATCGATGCATTAAAACATTGATGTACCAAACATCCAACGTGATCATAACCAATCTTATTCACTTCGCCAACAAGTTTACTATCAACTTCTGGTTTAAAGACAATATAGTTTACTTTAACATCAAAATGAAGGAAAGGAGTTTCATCAACAAGACTACCAAAACGTTGTAACAGTTCGATCTTGTCGTAAGCAACTATCACTGCTTCAAGTTTGTCGCAAAATTTCATAAGTTTTCGTGATAATTCTTCGTTAATTCCTTCTTTGAGTCGTCCAATGTAATTTGGAGGTAAACACATGTGTTCTATGTGCTGTATTTGCTGAAAGCAACTGTGTTTTTCGGTGCATTTTTGGCGAGCTTCGGACAAACTCATAAAACAGCCATCACTGGCAGCCATCTTGAAAACACGTGGGGATCGAAAATTGAGGGGGGAGGGGTTTAAAATATGTAGATTCGATTAAAAAGGTATATATTCCCGCTGATTTCATTGCAGCTTATCAATCTAATTAGTCAATTTATAATTTTTTTGAAACATTATTCAATATTTACTATGTTTTTTATTTTAAATTGTTTTCCACTCAATCCATGTGTGCTTTGCCTGCAGTTTTCCCGCCCTCCCCCTCCCCTGAAACAAATTCGATAATCCGCTGAATCGATTGTTTATCGATTCTTCACAATATGGCGCCAAAATAAAAGAACAGTAGCAAGCAGGTCTTTCATGATACCAGAAATTGCTGCATTTTTCTCATCAAAATCAACAGAATGGTTGAACGATTCACCAGATAGCTTGCCGTAAAGGAMGATGGCTGCATGGCTTATTTATGGAAGGTATTCTCGCTTCTGTGTTGGAAGATGGAATTCGCACGTGCTTTCAAACACTCGGTACTTTCATAACAAAACAGTGATTACTCCTTCTATTTCAAGACATTTAATGCATAAAGGAGCATCAACTGCAATTTTTACCAGCTGCAATACAAAARCAGTGACTTTGACGAGGTTATTTTAYAGAGAAGTTGTTAAACGAAGTTTTAATTCGAGCTCAAACACTCAAAGAAAGGTCTTGTCAAGCCAAACAGCGCTGAACTTGCCCTCTGTCAGACAAATCGAACAATATTTAGCTTCAAAGGATATTCCTTATGAACACGGCCATACGTCAATTGTTGTTGGATGTTTAGGCTGTGAAGAGGAAGGAAAAACAGCTAAAAAATCGATGTACATCAACAAGACAACAGGGAGCTATTTGTGCAAGAACTGTGGAAGGTCGGGATCATGGAGACAGTTCAAGGTTGTTTATTTGTTTGTTTTGTTTTGCATATTTGTTTTTTATTCATTTGTTTAATGGACCCTATTATTTGYTTATTGAGCTAGTTTTGACCAACTTCCGATATTATATTCTTCTGATTATTCATCATTTATTCAGTCATTTTTTTCTCATCCGTTCCTTCATCCGTTCTCATACATTTTTTATGTAAAAATAGAAGTCAATTTTCTGTTTGTCAGAAAATATGGTAAGAACAAAAAAGTATGCCATGAGACATGAAAGAGTCTCTTTCCAATGCCAACAAGACAAGAAAATGCCTGCTTGTTTATTTACTTGTGCAGTGGCTCAGAAACAGTATTCTTTCAGACAGCATTCAAGTTGGAATGGAGTTTCATTAGATAAATCAAAACTTTGCTTAATCTCCGTTTTCTGATAATTATAGACAAACTACTTTGGGATGCCATCATTTTGTTGTTTTGACAGAGTACAATGTCAATATCCCGCTTTACCCTCCCTTCCTCACCTTCCTTCTCCTGCCCCACCTACAGTGCTGTTGTGGGGTCATTAGGAAATGGACACAACATTGCAAATAAGGGTTGGGGGTAGGGGTGGGAGTATGTTTGTGTGGGAGGGGGGGGGGATGCTAGACATAAATTTTGTCATGTTTGTCAAAATATTGATAAAAGTGTCTTATAGTTATGTGTTGTATAATAATGTTACAAGTAAAAATGTCTAGGATTGTATGTTTTTTTAATTCACAACGTGTTGCTGGCAACTCAATTTCGCACCTCACTCCTGATTTGTGCATATTTTTTTAGTCCATAAATTCARAGAAGGATGGCGATAAACAAGCRAGTTCCTTACAGRAACAAGAGCTCAACCAGSCCAGGACAACTATTAACAGTGATTCTGACAAGAAAGCTAATGATATTTGGAAATCTAGCCAGCCACTACAGAGTGCATCAATTGATGTTAGGAAAAGAATTCTAGATATTTTTAACATAGAGGTAATAATAACTCATGCGTTATATCAAGCACCTTCAGGTCTTCCTTCAAAATAATTGGAATATAATAATAAATTGAAGCACTATACCCTGAAGCGGTTTTCTGGCGAAACCATGCACTCATTTTTTTWAAATCATGGATCTGACACTGTGTTGGCTATACCACACAAGCTCAATATTAAGTTATAGCACACTAGAACAATGACAATTCTTATCTATTCTTGATTTAATTTTTTAATTTTTATTTCATTATAATTCCAAAGAAAATATCGGATGATTCACTCTCAAAATACCAAGTGCRTATAGTTGAATACCAGGTAAGTTGATAAAAAGTTTGTGTGGATTKTATCCACTGGACAATCTAGGATTAATGCACTGATATTGTAATAGTATTCTCACTTCATGCAAGCTACACTTTCCAGCAGTTTTACAAGGATTTCTGACTAATAGAACACTTTGTATTTTTTCATTGATCTAAAAATACAACTTTAATTTTTTGATTGAATGTGTAGTTTTCTGAGCCAAGTGGACATTCGTCACATTATCCATGCATAGTTTTTCCATGGTTTGACTCTAGTAGAACTGCTGTCCATGGTGTGAAATTARTCAGAGTGGAGGAAGTTACCACTGAGACTGTTACACTTCAACCAAGGTTTGTAGGCCATTATCTGGGCAAATTGAATTTAACAGCTACTAGTATTTAAAATAGCATTGAATACTGAATACGRTGATACTGCATCACTATTGGACTCCATGGAAATAGCCCCAAAAAAGAAAAACAAAACTATATCCATCACAGGTAAAGAGCTGGCATAATCTCTTTCTGAATCTCTTGAACAGATTAGGAACTCTTGGTTTATTTGGTTGGAACTCAGTCCCTGCTGAAGCAAAAGAGGTAGGTACATGTATACTCAGGGGGAGAGGGCATGGGTACTCCCTCACCTACGTAGTCCCTATCCCTGACCAATTTGTGTGATTTTGCATACCCTACACCAGATTAAAGGTACAAAGCTACAATATTTTAGTGCTGAAAGCGTGGCCTAGCAGATTTGATCACAGATAAAATTCCACCCTACCCAGACAATGAGACTATACCCTATCCCAGACAAAATTACTACCCTATCCTAGACAAAAAGACTACCCTATCCTTGATAATTGAGCAAAAAATGATACCTTAGATGTCTTGTAGATATGTTGCATATAGCATGTACATGTAGATACATA